TGATCCTGACATTTCGAGACTCTGAGTTTAATAAACAGTGTGWAACTGTGTTTGGACTATCATCGTTTCATTGTTTCCTGGATGTGATCTGCTCGCCTTTTCTCCATGACTGGTTGTGAGGATTGAGTGGAGTTAATTGCACTTCCAGTGTACCCTGTCATATCGCATGGTTAAGTCTTCCGCTGTGTTTATCTCTCCCTGTGCGGTGTGATACTCCTATCCTCTCCCCTTCCTTCTGTGTGTGTATGGGCATGTGCAGAAGTTTATGTGAGCGAGTGTTGGCCTTCAGGCAACGTACAACCAGAATCATAACAATATTACTGAACTTCGAGAAGGCCTGCGATCAGATCCGTTAGAGGTTCCTATATCTGCAGGGATGGAGAGAGGAGGATTCGGTAGACGATTCATCACTCACATGTCTGAGCTCTTAGCGGCGACGAAAGCAAAGCTCAACAGGGCTGCCCGTTGTCGCCATCGTTGTACGTCCTGTATGTTGAGCACTTGCACAATATGTGTAGCATACTGCGTAGCCATACGGGCCCTGCAAGGCCCGTCCCGCACTTTCAGCCTAAAAGCCTAGAAAATAGGGCTTACAGGCCCCGGTCATTTCAGCCTGAAACTGAAAAACAAGGGCCTGCAGGCCCTATTCCGTTTTCAGCCTATTTCTGGGACTTTCAGGCCCAGAGGCTTTTCAGCCTGAAACGGAGGGTCATTTTCAGGCCCTCATTGTGTTCGACCTACCCTAAGACTCAGGCACAAAAACAGGGTTTCGGGAACAAGCTATTTCTGGCCTGTTCCCCACGACAGCTCAAGCAGGAGCTGCAGCGGCAGCCCCTGCCTCCCTTCGGCATTGGCAAGAGCAGCCTCCTGGACTGCCTCGCCTGCAGTCAGGAGGCACCCGAGTAGTACATAGGAAGTTCCCATGCACTTCACGGGTAGGTAGTTGGACAGTAGGCACGAGTAGTCTTCAGGATTCAGCCGCAGCACTCAGGAGGAGCGCTGCCAGGAGTAGCTTAGCGCTAGCAGTAGTCTTCAGCGCTGGGCGCTAGTAGCCATAGCAGTAGTCTTCAGCGCTGGGCGCTAGTAGGTGGTAGTGGTAGTGTGGGAGAGAGATAGCTGGTGGCGGCCAGCGAGACTGACCTGTGGCGCCATAACTCCAGCTCCATCTTCGAGGTACCTGCATCAAGGCGCCATCTTCACATGTTAGTACTGGACACAGAGAGAGAGAGAGAGAGAGAGAGAGAGAGAGAGAGAGAGAGAGAGAGAGAGAGAGAGAGAGAGAGAGTTCTTCTTCTTCCTCTTACAAGTCCACCATCTCTTCTTCCCCTCTCACCAGCTGACTACTTAGTATCAGCAGACTACGACAGAGAGAGAGAGTTGTGACTTGAGACTTGACGACATTGGATCCAGACTCGACATTGGGATTCAGACATTTTGACGAGGGACTATTTGGGCCTGTGCCGAAGACTTGGTGTTGACGACATTCCCATMYTCCCCTCTTCTTCGTCTAACCCCCCTCTTCTTCGTCTGTGTATGGTTGGGGCTGGCGCATTCTTCCTATGTGAGTGCCAGACCCCTTCACACCATGCAGTGATGATGATGATGTATGTTCGGGGCTGCATTGCAATATTGATTGTTCGGATCATTGGTAT